CCTCCTTTATGCCTTTATGGAATAGTCCTCTAAGGTACTAGGGGTTCTAAACCCAAAACCCTAGTTTTAGGGTTACTATATATGTATGAATATTTTAGGGTTTGAATGAATGAATGAATGTCTTTGTCTAGTTGATTTTAATGTCACTCTTTCCTGCATGATGACGCTTGGGTAATTTGCCCTAATCTTCCCTCTTAGCCTACTTTATGTTACCGCGCTGGGTATGGAGTTCTAGGGTTATACGGGTATACACCATCTGGCGAGTTTAGGTTAGATGTGTGAATGGGGGCCTATAGTGGTCAAGGCGACCGAATACCAACTATAGGTAGCCTTGCTAGATGAAACCCGGGATGAAACCTCGGTGTGGACGGTGGATAGTGTCCATTGAAATGAGCCATAAGCTTAATGCCACAGATACAATAGCCAAGATCGATGTAACTGGAACATGGGTTTAGGGGAGGCGTACTCGGAGGTGTGTGGAAAACCATGAAAGCCCACGGAAAAGAGCTCACTCACCACATTCGATGACCCGAAGTATCTAGATATGCATAGTAACCCTAAGCCAAGGGGAGGGATAGTTCCCCAAAGTACCTGCTTTTAGCTTTGATCAATCTTTAGACTAGTGTTTCCTCATATCCTCCACTCAAAACCTCAAAAACCTATTAACTAATTAGTAGTTAGCAACTAGGTGGGAAGTAGGCTAGGGTACCAGGACCCGAGTAGAATACGACCTTGATTACCACTATACGACAATGTCGTTCTAGGTTAAACTTGACCTAGAATGGGATAGTTGTTGATACGTGCTAACCTCTGACAATAACCTTCACGGATTCAAGTGATAATTAATCATTCATTCCAACTTCCAAATTTCGATGCATAGTAATTGTGATTAATGAGTAATTAATCCAAAACATCCATTGGGTTGCTAACATATGAGAATTAAATATTTACATAGCCTAATGAATATCTCAGTCATCATCATAGGTTGTTCTCAATTGCAAACATGCCATCCATACTTCATGTTAATAGCCACGAGATTCAAAACAAAACACCAAAAGTGTCACTACGATCATGCAAATGTAGAAGTTGCTATGCTTGGAGGCATCAAATTTTTTCACATTTGGGCATACAACTAGGCTTCAAGCACTCAAAATCACACCAATCATTCACACACACAAGCATAATAGAATATCCCCCACACTTAAGCTAGACATTGCCCTAAATGGTGTAAAATAAGGAGGTAGAACGATGTTACCGGATAGGGTGTGAATGTTGGTGGACGATATCGGAGGCCTGGTTAGTTTTGAAAGAGCAAGACCACGTCCAAACACCAAAATATCCCTAAAGGTTGTCATATTGAAGAGAAAAGAAAACTAACCAATGGTGGTTGGGTTGCCTCCCACCAAGCGCTTCTTTAACGTTGTGAGTTGGACGGTTGCTCTTCAAATTTTAGTCCACCCTAGAACCTCCTTTAAGTTGAGGTTCTCGTCGGTGAGGTAATTTCTCAAGACACGAGCATTGAAGGGCAAAGTTCCATGCATGATCATCGATAGGATTCTCTTGCTCCTTTACCCTCGTGACTTGGTCTTCAAAGTTGTTCTCATGAAGAGGAAAGGTGTGAAAATCATCAATGCAACCCTCTTGGTCATCCTTACCACGAGAGCTCTTCGGATTGAGTTCTTTTTGATCCACAAGGTTGTCATTGATTGCCCTTTCAACCTCCTCGTTCTCCTCCAATGAAGAGAGGCGATAGCTTGCACAAGTATGTGCCACCTTCTCTTGAATTTTCAAACCAGTAGGAGGGAGGGGTTGGAACATGCTCTTTCGAAGTTCTCCAGGGCAAGCTCCAATTTGGTCTTCACTTCAGGTTGTGGGAGATCCAAGTTCGAGCATCCTTCGTTGGTGCCTCGAGCAAACCGCTCCACAATGAGCTCTAATTTTCTCTGTGACACCGGTTGTGAGTGGCACATGGACTTGAGGAATGTTCCATGAAAGCTTCCATGGCAAACTTCAACTTGGATTTCTCCTCCTTTTGTGGAGGGAAATCTTCTTGATATCCCCATTGGTATAGTTGTTCCTCTTGGAAGCGGGTTTGGTAATAGAACCCAAACCCTTGACTTCCACCATCTTGATTGTTCTATGAAGCTTCGAGGTAACTACCCTCGGGTGGTGGTGGATATCCCCACATGTTAGTGAATCCGTAAGGATCCATTATTCAAAAACTACACAAAAAACACTAGATCTCGTAGTTCATACGGGGTGGAGACGAGGGGGTCGGTCCATGGATTTTCCTTCCTTTTGCCGCATTTCGCTAAAGGGTTGAAGGGAGCACAAACCACCCTTCAAGATGAAGAGTGGGTGAACAAAACACAAACGAATTACCAAACACAAAACAAAATGCCTAAAGTAACGACCTAAGTCTTTTTCTGATAACCTAGAATGTTCCCCGGCAACAGAGCCAAAAAATTAGCTCGACTCTGACTACACATCCCAATCGACGACCAAGCATAACGAAAACCAGGTGTAGAATAGGGTAAGCAAGCAATTTAATTTATCAAACCACGGGTCTCCTAAGTCTACCTTACTTCGGCTTGAGGTTTTGTTATCTAGCCGACCTAGAATAGCGATTAGGAAAACTAAACTACCTAACCTAGTTAGCCACTAACCTAGATAATTAGAAATTGTGGAGCTTTCTTAGCTTCAATCTACCGAGTTCTTTCATTCGGATCGATGTTGAGATCGATTCACTATCCTACCATTATGAGATCGACTCACTCGGGATTAACCCGGAACAGTGAAGTGATGGATGGGTAATGCTCTATTCAACCTTGGGCAACTCTATATCATTAGGAGATCAATCGAATCAATTCCATCGGGGATTACACAGACGACATATGATAGAAGTTACCCCTAGACGCCAATAATGGGCTCTAAGGGGATTATCTCCCTCCTAAAATCAAGCAATTGATATGAAGTAGAATCCAAAATCAAGCAATTGATATGAAGTAGAATCCAAAATCAAGCAATTGATATGAAGTAGAATCCAAAATCAAGCAATTCATGAAAACCATTCATCAAATCGATAAAATCATCAATAACCATAGAATATGTCAGATACCTCAACTTCAAACCATAACCTAGATCTAGGGTTCATCAACCTAAGAGAAAGTGGTCAAATTCATAGAGAGAAGAGAGATCACAAAAATAACTCAATATCTCCATCTTCTAGGCTTGATTTCTTGACTCCAAGATCAAACCAAGCCTCCAATTAAGCTCCAAGATCACTCAAGGTCTCTCTCTCAATATAAATATTTTGGGCCGAAACCCTATAGAGAGAACCAAGTTCTTCTCCAAAAACCAGCTCTCCTTTTCTCTCTCTGACTAGTCCCGAATATCACAACAAAATCTCACCTAAGGCCCGAGTATAAACCTTAGATGGGTGCAATATAGGGCAAGTATGTTTAAATATCAACCTGGGCCGGTCCCTGTACCCCTACTTCCATTGTTCGAAACATAATCTAGCGTATTGGTTTTTGGTTGAAAACTATGAGATTTAAATCATTTTTTTTTACAACGATTTAAATCAAAACAAAGCAAAGGTAAATGGTTTGAAAGCTCTAGATGAGAAGGATCACTCGGGTTTTGCTTCTCCCTAACTTCTACCATGGCACGTGGACTCGAATGAGACGTTATGGGCAAGACAATCATGAACCGCTAGGAGGTGCAACTATAGTCGAAGACCACACTCTCAATTGTCAAACCAAGGGATACATTATATGCTACTAGAGTCGCCCTCTTGGTTAAGGCCATTCAGGGTTGACTTACCTTCTCCCTCAAACCGATGGTTGGACAGCTTAATCATGATTAACCTAGTTGATTAATTCAAGATAGAGGTTTTCCCTACATTAACCTAGGTAGGTGGCTTGAAAAGCCCAAGGAATCCCAACTCAATTGAGCCTTTTTGGAAAGGGGGGTTTCCCCTCTAACCTCTTTTTCTACTTCTTTCTCCTCTCTGCCTTAAACTCAGCTAGCCACAAACTTTCTTCCAGCTTCAATATTTCACTCACATCTGTGTTTCGGTCCTCACTTTCATCCCCAGTCACCTCCACCCACCAAAAAAATGACAATTATTCTTTCGATCCTGCACCATGACTATCATCTAGTCACCAAACACACATTTAGTTGATGAACAACCATCGAATTGTGAAAAGATATCTCTCAGTTACCTTCGAAAATGGACAACCATAGAATTGCCTGAATTTCTCTCGGTTACGCTTGCAAAGGACCAAGCCACGATTAATGATGCTTGTTGAAGATGAAGAAACTTGTCGTGAGATCACCACCCCTTGCTGGAAGCCCTCTATGATGTCGCAAATCGAGAAAGAGGAAAGGAAAATGCAATGGTAGAGGCAGCAGCATGGACGTGGTGAGGAACGTCGGCGGAGGGAATGCTTCAATCAATGGCAGGCAACATCTTGGTCTCCATTGCCGCCGACTAGAATGGGACTCTCGAAACCCTAAAACGATTTTGGAAAAAGAGGGTATAAGAAGCACGAGAGGCAAAGCAGATGGTAGGGTATAAGAGGGAAACAAATATAATTAAATACTTTTTAATTAAATTCTGATGTGTCATATCTACGTGTCAGTTTATGCTGACGTGTATGTTGATGTGCGAGCTAGTTTGGATTTTCGCCAGCTTGTCGTTACAATAAATGACGACATCCTTATTAACATCGTTCAAATTTGTCACGGAAATGACTAGATTTTTTCATACAACCATCCAAATTTCTGGCTATTTTTTGTTCTTTGGAATTTGAGGCTATAACTATTACAAACGTGGTGTTGTGGGTGTATTTCACTATTTGCTTTTGTTAAAATTGGAAAGTAAAGTGAATGAAAGGTTAATAACCCAGGTCACGAGACTTGTGACAGGAGAAAATTCCTTGTTTCTCAGAAAGCATCAATTACGCATAAAGAACATTGAAATCTCAGCCGCTAAACCAGTGACAAAGTTCCAGCAAAAGAACACTGGACGGTAGAGATTGGCTATTGGCGAAGAGCGGCCGGAAGAAAGGAACAATCTGAGGGGAGGAGAAGATTCTTTTTCTTTTTTACCAGGGGCGAGGTGCGGCGGTGTTTTCCGTAAGTAGTGTTAGTGTACAGTAGAGACTACCAGACAGACAAAGAGGAGAGGGCTGAGCTGCGCAGCGCTTCGTTAAGACTTAAGGGAGGCGTAGGTGGAGTGGAGGGCGCCGATTCGTACTAAGGAAAAGGGAACGCCACCTCGACGGAGTTTCCCATACTCTTCCCCCTTCCTCGCTCTCTTATATATTTAACCTCAACAATCTTCGGGTCGCTTTCTTCACTTCACACCGTACCAAAATTATTCTCCCTCCCTTCCTCTGCTTCCGCTGCGGCCTCCCCAGGTTCGTCCTCAATCAATTTCTCAATCTGAGTTCCTATTTTCTTATTTTGTCAAGATCTGAAATTGTTTCTTCGTCTGTAAATGAATTTCTCTGTTGCTTTTGGATCTGATTTTGCCTTGTTCTTCCCTTCTGCTGTGCTCCACGTCGCGTGCTTGTTTTTAATACATGCAATCATTGTGTGTGTGTGTGCGCGCGCGCGCGTGATGGTGTTAAAAGATGCCGTTTCCAAGTTGAATCTGGATGTAACTTGTTGGTACTGAAAATGGTGGACGTTTGTCGATGATTTTGGCTCACCGATCTTTACCCAATGAGTCTCATTTCTGTCTCTGTTTTTTTTTTTTTTGGTTTGTCAAATTGTGGGTTGTGGAATCTGGAGGAAACACGTTAGTGATACATCTTATGAGGGATTGTGGCTGGATTGATCCGTTGCAAGTAGAGCGCCTGAGCATTCACCCTGTTGTGTTTGGTACATGAGGAATTAGAATGACGAATTGTTATTGATTCTCAACGATTTCGTGGTTCGTAAAGTTTGACTTTACTGAAAAGCGCTAAGCTTTTGCTTTGGAATATGCCTGGTTTAGAGGATTCCAAACCCTTTTGCTCCATTCCTTGTGCTGTATTCTTATTTACTGACTGGATGATCCAGCTAGCTAGAGCGTAGACTTTGGAATCTGTCTCATTTTGTCTGTCTTTTCTTTAGATGATTTGAATGTTTCCTTGGATGGCATGAAACATTTGAAGTTCCACATGGTAGACATTTTTTAGATTATCTTGTATCTACTTTACTGGTGTCATTTATATGAACATATTCTGGAAGTTGCCAGTTTCCAATCCCAGTGATGAATGCAGGTCAATATTATTTAGAGATCTGGATAGATCGACCTTACATAATCGGACTCAGTCCAGTCGTGCATTGTATATGTAGAATTTGATAGGCGAAACTAGATCTTGAAGCATGATTATCTGTTTTGCTAACTCTTTCTCATGATCTTCATCCCTTAGTTTACTCCTACCTGTTTCTTGTTCGTGTTCAACTATATTCTCTAGTTTATCTTGTTCCTTATGTAGAACTCTCCACCCAAGGACCATCAACTGTAAATTATATTTCCTGCAACTTGCATTTTACTTACTGCATATGCATGGAATGCGCTTGATAATCAACATGTGTTTTTTTACATGTTATAGAGCTGGGACAATTGTGTAGTTTTACCTGCTTTTATGTCTATCCCCTGAGACTCTGATCTTAGAATTTCTTCGAAGTGATAAGTGTAATAAAAGTTTTGACATTTTTTAAAATTTTGATTATCTGCTACTGGTTTTTGTATGTTTGAAAAGGTAACCGTTCACATTCGTTATCTCACTTTGATACAGGGAAATTTGTCATACTTGACTAATATTTTTTCTTTTCTCCTTTTCTACTAGCATATTTACTTATCTTTGCTGATGAGTGATATCTAAATGTTTGATAGAAATGAAATTCCTGCCATACTTATCCAATAATTTGCAATAATGTTGTTTATCATATCGATCAGCTGTATTGTACTGCTCAATAGCAGTGTAAAAGAGATTTCTAACGGTTCCTTTATTATTACAGTTGAAAGATGGCAGCTACTTCAGCAACTTCTTTCTCCATTGGATCGACCATCTCCTTTGGTCCTAAAGCGAGCCAACTCCTGCAGCCAAAACCATCCGTTGTTAGATTCAACTCTCAGAAGCCACTTGCAACCTTCAGTGGTCTGAAGGCAACAGGCTCTGTAAACTGCGAGTCAGAGTCTTCATTCTTGGGCAAAGAAAGCTATGCTGCGTTGCAGAACTCTTTATCATCAAGAAGTGTCAAGTCAATGGGTAGGACACAGTATCGCCTCAATCCCCAGGCATCTTACAAAGTGGCTATTCTTGGAGCTGCTGGAGGGATAGGTCAGCCTCTGGCATTGCTGGTCAAGATGTCTCCACTAGTTTCTTCTCTCAACCTATATGATATAGCAAATGTGAAGGGTGTTGCTGCTGATCTCAGTCACTGCAACACGCCTGCCCAAGTTTCAGATTTCACTGGGGCGTCTGAACTTGCCGATTGCTTGAAAGGTGTGAATGTCGTTGTCATTCCAGCTGGAGTCCCAAGAAAGCCCGGGATGACCCGTGATGATCTCTTCAATATAAATGCCAGCATTGTAAAGACCTTGGTTGAAGCTGTTGCTGATAACTGTCCTGAAGCCTTCATCCATGTCATCAGCAACCCAGTCAACTCTACGGTGCCGATTGCAGCTGAGGTTCTGAAGCAGAAGGGTGTTTATGATCCAAAGAAGCTGTTTGGTGTTACTACTCTCGATGTTGTGAGGGCAAACACGTTTGTCGCTCAGAAGAAGAACCTGAGACTCATTGATGTTGATGTCCCTGTTATTGGAGGCCATGCTGGGATTACCATCCTTCCTCTTCTGTCCAAGACAAAACCCTCAGTCAGTTTCACTGACGAGGAGATCCATGAGCTGACCGTGAGGATTCAGAATGCTGGAACTGAAGTAGTTGAGGCAAAAGCAGGTGCTGGCTCTGCTACACTGTCGATGGCATATGCTGCAGCAAGATTTGTGGAATCTTCTCTCCGTGCACTTGATGGAGATGGTGATGTGTATGAGTGTGCATATGTGCAGTCCGATGTTACTGATTTGCCATTCTTTGCATCGAGGATCAAGTTAGGGAAGAAAGGTGTTGAAGCTCTCATTTCATCGGACCTCCAGGGTCTTACCGAGTATGAGCTTAAGGCAGTTGAAGCGCTCAAGGGTGAATTGAAGTCTAGCATTGAGAAGGGTATTGGTTTTGCCCAGAAGCAGCCTGTCGCTGCTGCCTAAGTGGAGTCTGAAGTGTTGAATTAAGTCTCTTAACAACAACAACAACAACAACAAAAAATGGAACCATCTCCCCAGTTTTAACCAAGGCGCTTTACCTGCAAGTTGAGTTTTTTACTTGGTTCTTTTGAGTTTTGTAGAAGTTTCCAACATTTCATTTCTCCAGTCTTGGAAGGACATTTTTTGAAGAAAATGTGAGAGTGGGTGAGATACATTACAAGTGTTGTAGTAGGTCCAGCCCTGGAGAGAGAAACAGCAGTGACAATTATGATTTGTAATAAATATGCAAAAGCATGGTTGGTGAACCATGGCATCATAAGTTACAAAACAGGGTAAAGGTTAATGGGTCAACTGTTTTAGTCCGGTTTAATTTGAAAATATAGAAATAGTCATCAATTCATTATATTGTGCTTATCTTGAATCCAACATAGTAAAAAGTTTAACACTACTTATCATCCTAAGACCATCCACAATGTGGGTTGGTTTTGTGGGAAAAAGGGGAAATGTGACCACAATGTGGGGGGAATAGGGAATTAAATGGGTTTTGTGGGTGAGAGAAAACCCACCAGATGAGACAAATGGTGGGGGGGAAGTAGAGGATGGGAAAGGACAACCCTTTCTTTTCTTTTTTTATTTTTTTTTTTTCCTGATTTTATCAAAAGCTTGTTTGGAAAGTTGTGTTTTTGTCCCCAACGGACAAATTTAACCAACAGCCATATTTTGCAACGGTCACTTTTAACGGTCATATTTTTCAACGGCCATTTTTCCAAATTAATGATGTCATACTTAATTAGTGATGAAAAAAATATTTCCAAATTAAAAAAAATTATATCGAAATGTTCGTATTAATTAATTATCACTAAGTGCGTAATAATAATGATCATTATATGAAAAAAAAGTGACAAAGTCAACTGTAAATTGATTTTAACAAAAAATACTAAACTGATTACCCACTTTTCCCACAGCCACACTGTGACCAAACCAACCAATTTTCCCACTTTTCCCTCTTTTCCCACATTTCCCACCACCCATATTGTAGATGGTCTAACATCAAACAATTCCATCCATGGTTGTCACGTCGGCCGGCATGCCACTGGTTCAACCTGGTTTAACCTGTATCGGTCATAAAACCGGCATGATCGATATACGAATCTCCAAATAAAATGATCTTATCTTAGTGAATTTAATTTATAAAAGTACTTTATTATTTATTTTACGTGTTAAAAAGTTAAATGTTGATGTTATTTGTTGGATTCAAGTACAAATATTTAGGTATTGACGTTAAATGTTGTGTTTAAATATGAGAATTTATAAATTATTTATAATATTAACCGGCATGAACCGGCAAAAATCGATATGTACCACCGGTTGAACCATTCCACTTGCTAAACCGGCACACTGGCATAAACCGGTTTGACAACCTTGATTCCATCCCAAAGCTTTTTGTGTTTGTTTCCATTTATTGGAACCAACCAAGAGTCCAAAATCCAAACCCTTACCAATTCAGTTCCATCCCAAAGCTTTTTTGTGTTTGTTACCATTTATTGGAACCAACCAAGAGTCCAAAATCCAAACCCTTACCAATTCAGTTCGAACGGAAGACAGATAGGGGGAGCACCGATCGACAAGGAGAAGGAACGACATACAGAGTTCCCGAGCTACCGACCTAACCTGGAGGCAGAGGGAGGTCGATTTGTCGATTGGAGATGGATGGAGGGTGGATGTAGAGGGAGCCCAAACTAGAGGAAGAGGGAGGTCGAATCGAAGGATCTGAGACGATGGCAAGGCGTCCGAGGTGGAGGCGGGGAGATCGAGTGGTGGAGGAAGGTGGCGTCCGATCGAGCTTGAGGTAGATGGCCGAAGGGAGAAGACTCTCTCGTTCTCTCTGGCGACCTGGACGAGCCCGCCGATGATGGAAGAACGAGGCGAGACACGACTGCGGGAGACAAAGCTACCGAAGACAGAGTAGCGAGAGAGAATGGAAGGAGGAGGTCGAGGTGAGACGCAGCTGTGGGAGACCAGAGTCCACCGAAATTGGTTTGGAGCGGCTTAGGGTTTTCGTTCCAGTGTTCTGCTTCTCCAGGAGAAATCCCAGCCACCAAAAGCCGCCACAAAGCAAGAAACGGCACTTTGAAACGAGCAGACCGGCAACCTGCTCGAACAGGCCAACCGCTCGGGTTTGACCGGTTCTCCCGAGTTTGACCATTTTCGGGCTAACTCTCAAATGGGTTGTTCTAGCCCATTTTCAAGGGCGAGTCTGGGCCAACTCGGGTCGACTCACGGGTTGACAACTTTGGAACAGATACAATTAGCGTATGAATATGATTCATATCGTTCGTCTACTCGCCCAAACAATGAGTATCCAATGCCACTTGTGTCGAAAGATCCAATAGGCGCACTGATCGTCATCCACCATAATTTCTCTGGCTTCTTCCCTCTTTTCTCCATATGTCATCACAGGAGCATCGACCCTCCCAAAAGTGATGAGATATTGTTCGATCACTAATTACTACGTCTATGTTATCAACCCAAGAAAGAGTTATGTGAGTCTACACAGGTTCTCAAGTTCTTGGCTATCCTTACTCTTGTTATAGGTGGGGTGGCATAAATTCCAGATGTCTATAATAATGTGGGTTGAATCCACACTAGTGACAAAGATGGTCGAAAGCCTGATATTCTTCCGAAGATGCATACTCTAGTTCTTCAATTTGTTATAGCACCATCTTGGGCTTAATACTAGTTATTGTAATAGTCATCTTAGTTAACTTTCAATCACGGGCAGGTGGAGCTGGATCTAATTCATCTCACCAAACTTCATCTAGAAAAAGTTGACCATCATGAGATGTTTTCCTAAAGTCATCAGTTAGAGTTTCCGATCTTGTTTCGAGCTGCATCTTTGGTTCTGGTTGTGAATCATTTTCATCAAAATTGTCATCACGGATCACTTGATAAGAGGTTCGGCTGGCTTGGGCCTTCCAACTTTGTGTATGATATTTTCTATTTACAGAGTGAGTTCTCCCTTTTCCGCATTGATCTTGGAACCAAGATTTGCCATAAATGGTATCCCAAATATCAAAGACTATGAGTCATCCATCTTTATGTCAATCACCTCATAATCGAGAAATAAAATGAAAGACCTTATTTGGGTAGTCAATCCTCTTACTATCCCAAGATCTTGAAATTGGATGCTATCTGCTAACTTCTTCCATGCCAGCTAGATCCATATCTTCATAAAGTTGAAGTGGTAAGATATTGATGATTGCACCAAGATCAACCAATCCCTTTTTGGATGATGATAGTCTAAGGGACACTTGATCGTGCAAGGTGCAATGACAAGGGTCTTCTTTTCTGCCCATTAATTAGAATAAGTTCTTCATATCAAAAATAGGTTTATTTGATGGTTTTTTTCTTTTTTCTAGATCTTCTCATCTTCTCCAAGAAGTATCTTGAGTTTGTCCTTTGGGTTCTTCATAGCAATGATGCTCTCAAATAGTGGTGTGGCAGAATTTTCTCCTCCCAGAGCTTTTAACAAATTACGAAAGAGGGGATAGTATCGAGTGTCTTCTTCAAGGGTGGACATCCTTTTTTGGAATTTTCTCATCATTTTCTTCCTTTTCCATACACGTTTGGGATGCCCCTACGATTATAGAAATTGCCTTGACCTCCTTTTTCTTTGGATTGTTCTCGATATTACTGGGAAGATTCCCTTGAGACTTTTAAGTTTGTACATCAATCAATTTTGCAAGTTGATGTTTTATGTGTTGGAATCTACGTTGCAATCCATATTTTATGGCTTCTATTTTCTCAAATCTAGTAGGTTATTGATTGGAAGGGTTTTCTCCTTGCTGATTATTTTGTGATTGGTTCCTGAATCTAGGGGGACTAGGTTTTGCTCCATTGTTGGTCTTGAATATAAGTTGCACTCAAAGATGTAGTTTTATGAGTTCTTTGCTCTAGGGGGAGGCCATTGACCATAGGTCACTTGAGGTTGATTTTGATTGTAGCTTCTATAATTGTTGTAACCTCCTTGTGGTTGTCGATTTTGGTAACATTGAGTGATGAAAATGACATCAACATGTCCTTGATCTCCAGGATTCCAATATTCTTGACCATCATGGCCTTCCTCTCTATAGGCATCACAAACATATAAGGATGCCATTGGTTTATTCTCTGGTTTCACTGTGACATTTTTGAGTGGCTAAGAAAGCTCTTTCATTTGCTTGTGAAAGATGGTAGCAACGTCGTCACTTGCTTGGGCAGATTTCACTTGTTTAGCCATTGATTTCGTGGACCAATTATTTGACTTCAATACTAGATTGACAATACGCTCTTGGCATTGGATTTCATTCACTTGAGTGAAATCATGTTCAAAACAAAGTTTCTAACGGGATTCATATTGGGTGATATTTGGGAATTTAGGGATTGAGAAGATAGAATTAGGGATTTGGAAGAAGAATTGGGGGAGAATAGAAGAGAATCGGCCTAAGCCTTTAGAGGGATTGATGTCAAGAATTGAGAGGATAGGGAGAGGGATTAAGGAGATAATTCTTTTATTAACTTTTGCTTAATATGACGAATGATCCAAAGTACATATATATAGGGAAATACTAGAAAACCCTAATGATAAACCTAATTCTATTAAATGACTACTAACCTTATTGATAATTATCCTAATAGTAATTATATTAATAAATCGAGAAACCCTACAGAAATCGGTTTCTAACATCTCCTCCCTCTTCATACCAACCTTGTCCTCAAGGTTGACCCACTTGACCCACTCTGCCACGTTCTCCATGTAATCCGCATCCTTCCTGCTCTTTCTTTTTTTCCAATTTTGCTCCATCTTTTCGCAAACCATCGAGCTTAATCCAAACAAAAGAGGTCCAACCAGACAGCCCATTTTGGCCTTAATCTTTTTTTGCAGACACAACCCATTTATTTCTTGAAGCTCTTCTAATACTTTCTGGTTCGACCCATGGCCTAACTCTCTTCCGGCCCACTTCTTTTTCAGCTCTGGCCCACTCTTCTTGCCGCCATCAGCACACTTGGCCCAATTCCATAGATCTGCTTCCAACCCATGTACAGGTCTTCTTCCAGCCTCACTCTCTAGGCCCAATTGAGTTTGGGCATGTTGTGTTGAGCAGACCATGGAAAATGACCTATGGATGGCAAGAGAGATAGCGACGCCACCGCTCTCCTCTCTCTGCTCAGTCGTCGACTTCCCCGCCGGCGAGCGGCTCTTCTTGCTAACAGCCCACCTCGCTTCCGGCCTCACCTCCTCGTCGGTGGAGGCCTCCCTCATCAACTTCCTTGTTTCGCCACCCGCCATCGTCGTCTCCTTCTCCGGCGACAAGTCTTCCATCCGGTGGCTAGGAGTCCTGGCAACGGAATGCAGAGAACCCATCGGCGTCTGCTTCCCACCCTCATTGTTCATCTCGACGTCGTCATC